TGCCTAATAATAATCAATATATTAAGAGTCGTAATCGTACAAGTTTTAAATAGAATGTTTGTTTCTATCCCAGACCCACAAAAGGGCAAAAAATACAATGCAATGTTCCCGGTTTAAATATATTTAGAATGCAGATTTAAAAAAGACAAGTTGTCTTGTTACATCTAAAAATATAGATCTACATTTTTCTGTTAATACCTACCGTCTTATAAATTATTAGACATGAGTATGTCGTTATCAATGTAGTTAAATCTATGGACAAATTATTAAACTTGACCATAAAGACTTACTTGACTATATTAAACATTATTTTAAATTCGATGCCAATACCTTTTGTTTAGAATTTAGATTTTAAAATGGTTTCTTAAGGGTCAAGGGTAACCATTATTGATTTAGAAATAATTATTCAAATTTTATTGTTCAAATAGTCATCGTTCCAAATATATTCTATTGGGACGTCTGAAGTTTTAAGATCCACTCTGTTTCACGTGATTCCAAATGATTTTCTTGAAAAAATCAATAAATAAATGGTTTTTATTACCCATTTTAATTCGATATGGATTATTGTCTTTTATTTACTTCACGTAACGTGACACATGACTCCATTTAAATTTAATGAACCATTCGTATTGCAAAACAATCTGTACATCTAAATTATAAAGCAATTTAGAAAAAAAATACCCTATTTGTAAAAAAAATGCGACCAGGAGGTCATTCTATTCAAGGATATCATTGATGCGAAGAGTGCTATCGAAAATTCAATTTGAACTTTTTATTGTTTAGATTTTATTTTAGCATGACATATCAATTTATTTATCAAAATTGAAAAATAATAAGCAAAAAACGAACAATGGGAAAATGTTTCTTTATAAAACAAGGTTTTAAGCTTTTATGACCTTATAGGGAGTGATCCACAATGATTTTTTCTAAAATATGCCATGCGAAGACAAAACAGAGATGAATCATTTCCGTGATAACTACACGCGGCTTTGAACTAAATCCAAACAGGCACCAAAATTAAAAAATAATTACACGCTCGATACACATACTTAAATTTTTCCAATATTTTCTTTAGAAGCAGTTCTTTAATGAAAATACACCAAAATTTTCTCTCCTAACAAATAAAAAAGGAAGACCAATAAATTGCGAAAATAATAGGAATAGTAGCAAATATTCTTAAAACCCAGACAGCACAAATATGTACATTGGACGTCCATTCAATATACAATATTGAATGTCTGGACATCCAAAAATTAATTTTTTTTAGACTTCCGACATCCAATGGACGTCCAGTGAAGTATACATACAAATGGCACACTTTTGACCATTTAGAGGACGTCCAATTCTGGATTATATTTGGACGTTGAATACTGGACATTCAAAAAAATCGGAAGCATTTTACGCAGAACTTCCCTCTATATAAAAATTATAAAAACAGGGAACTTTTAATCACTGAAATTTTGATAATTTAAAATTAAAACCACCAAACCAAAAACCGTTTTTCACATTTCTCTTTCCATCGATCTTCCTTTTGATCCGATCCAAATTCTCACTTCGCTGGTCCAATTACACAAACCAAAAGGACAATTTTGATTATTTCTATTCAAGGGGGACCTTTTTTGATTAAATACGATTCCTTTCAGCGCCATTTTTAAAAAATTATTTAGGATTTGTAATGTTTGGCTTCTATAACTCTCAGATACCAATTTTAAAGCTAATTTTTGTTTTAAAAACTGCTCACCCTGTATATAACTGATCGGAAGTATAACTGGTTTCGAGCCAGATAGGAACCTTATCTCCATACAAAATTTGAAGTTTTTCTATTAAGCTGTTTTTGAGCTATCGCGAGACCGACAGAATGGGGAAACATGTTTTTCGTTATCTAAGGGCCCTGAAAAGTGAAAATCTAAAATAATCTCGGAAGGTGATTTTTTTACGATTACAATACTTCCATTTTATAGATGGAAGTAAAATGTCCATTCCTGGATTATATTCCATTGCGATCACATCCCCACTTTTTATTACACAATCGCAACTCACCACACACTATTTTATATTATAAATAATTTATTTATTATTTTCGCAACCCGCTATACACCATTTCTTTTTTATAATTAATAAAGTACTTAACCTAAGTAGGGATCGAACTCACGACACATCCATTATCGTTCTACGCTTTCAACCGCTAGACGGTCTCGACCAAGGAGCCACTTGAAAACTTTTTACTAGATATGGTTATAACAGAATAAGATTTCAAACTTTCGCTGATAGAATAAAATAGATCAAATTTGTCAATTTTTAACGACCAATAATATTTAAAAAAATAAAGTATATTATAAATTTTAGGTATCATCTGGTAAGCTAAATAAATAATTACCTAAGATGGACGTCCACTGGACGTCAAAATACTACTAAACTTAAAATTAATTCCAAAAATAGATGTCCTCTGGGTATCGATATGCAGCTGTCAAATTTGAATGATCATAAACGGACGTTCTGACTGTCAAATGGATCTAAAGTGGACGTCCATTGGCCTAAGTGTGTTGTCTGAGAAAGTTTATACATTTTTATGAATAATAGAGAGCCGAAATAAGCAGATCTTTCTTTTTGTTTTTTTTTTTTAAACGATATCAAAAAAGGAGGAGGTTCTCAATTCGTCGTAATTTTTTTTTTGTGTTCACCGATAATTCTTTAACGCGGTGTCCGATTTCAATGATTCTTTTTTTGTTAGAAAGGGGGTGCTTCAGGGGTGGTTCCCTATAATTTTGGTCAAGATGTGTTGATGCCATCTGCACGACTTTTATTAATATTGACGCGCTACTTATAGAAAGCTGTGCGTGGCTATTATATTGAGGCTATTATATTAGAATTACTAGGTCAAGTTTTGACCGACCCCATTTGGACATAAAGGACACTAAAGGAGCTCAATTTTTTTGTCAAAAATAAATTTGCGCTATTGAAAACAATTATTCTTTAAATGCTTCTAATTATTCCTATAAAATAACATTTATAGAATTTAAAAAAAAATTATTTAAACGAAAAATGGACTTTTCATTACTTGTGCAGCACTTAATATATTCCAGCTTTAAAGTATTATATTTTAAAGTGGTAAGTACTAAGTCAACCCAAAACTGACCTCGTGAAAGTGTCTGTCTGCACATCGAGTTCCTCCCATCCCCCATTTGATTTTGGCCTTATTTAAAGGCCGTGGCCCGGTTTAATTTTGATTTACAAATCTGATTTTCTGTGTCTTATTTATCAACATCAACACAATTTTTCAGTTGCAGTACCTCTAGCAAGAAGTAGTCGGAAGTGTAAAGTTGTTATTTAAGGTCTTAGAAAAAAGAAATGGAAGAAAAAGGGCTGTAATTTGCGTAATAGAAAAATTAAATTAAAAGCACAAAGAACCACCAATGCGTTATTTAAAACTAATAACAATTTAAAGGGGTCTCGACCCTTGCAATTTGGCCTTGATACTGTGCGTAAATAAAACCGATTTATCTATTAATATTGTAACAATAATATTCATTCAAATGACGTCAGAGAGATCGTACGATACATGTTTGATATATATTTGATATCTTACACAATTATTCTGTAATAAAAAAAAATCTTGATTTGTTGAAAGCGAAGCATGTGCCGGTTGCAAAACTAATATTTTTCGTTGAGATAACGGAGACAATTATTTCCATTATGTATGATGCGTAATGATATTTGGGTCAAATCTATTTATTTATAACTCGCCAAAATATTTTCGGATTTTGATTGTAGATAAAAAAATTCGCGAAAGTAGGAAATAACGATTCTTTTTTATCTTTATTTATTTTTATAACTATGCAGGAAATTACAATAATATACAGGAATATAAACATGGAAAAAATTCAGAGATAAAAATTCATCTGCAGGTTCTACCTTAAATTATAGAATTAATATGGTCAATGCAAACTATGAAGAGTAGAGGGTCTAGAACCGAGCTTTAAAGCACTCTTGCAATATAAATATTTTTTCTGTTCCTCATCCTAGATAATTTATTAAAAATCGTAGGGGGTATTCAATTACTCAAAATCGAAAATAAAAATTCTAAGTTAGTACCAAAAAAGTTTTAATTAAAAAATAAGCTACCTATTTCGGCCCTGACCCATCATCAGGCCTAAAAGGAAGATAAGTGTAGTTTATACTAAAAAGCATCAACACGCACCTTAAAGAAAGGAACATAGTGATACAAATGATATCAAATTAAAACAAAAACATTTCTTATCGATCAATAGAGAAAAATAAGCTCGGCCATGCAAATATTACTAAAAAGGCTAAGAAATAAAAGTTAAAATTCCGGCCAATTCTTATGTAAATTGACAGAATCGCTGAGGTCCCAATTTTGTCACTAAATCTAGTAATTTCTTGGTTGGTTAGTACCTATCACTGATTTTCTTACTCGATTTTTTGACTGGCAACACTATCGCTAGATATTAAATATCTAACGACAGATATGACAGTTGACAAATAACAAGTGACGTCATGTCCTAAATGGTTAAAAAAAGATACTAAATCTTGTAGATTATATAATATATATTCAATTCTAAATAAAAAAATATGTGTTACTGATTTAGAGTATTTTATTTTCGTTTATTTTAAACTAATAATTATATCCTTATGATATTAATACTTATATAATATGATTTGAAATGGATTGAGTTCAGTATATTAATTAATACCTTGTATATCGAAGGCTTTAAAGAGGACCATTTACGAGTAAGCCAAATATATTAAGGATGCGTGTAGATAGAAGTCGCACATACAGTGCATCTGACCATAGACTTGCTAATGCGCTGTTTAGCAATATTTGTTTGTTTCACGTGTGATCCTATTATACCTTGTCGAATTCATTGTACATTTAGGAATTTGTATTTCAATGTATCTTTAGTCATTTCTTCTTGTCTTACCTTATCCCGTACTGTTTGAATTTTCTGGTAGGCGAATTTATTATTTTTTTTTTATTTCAGGCTCCTCAACCTTCAGATCCATGGGAAGATATCAGAGATGGTACGAAAGAGGGATACGAATGTCCTTCGTTGGATATGTTCTTCGGATATCACGTCGGTAACGAGGATAACTGTTTGAATTTGAACGTTTACACCAAAGAGGTAAGAAAAACTACGTATAATTTTATATTATTTTACTTTTACTGTATTGTGGTTCCAGTTTAATCCACATGGTAACATTTCAAAATAAAACGGGTTTCTATTGGAAGTCATAATTTACCTTATCCTAAAATTAAAAGTTTAAAATATTAAAAAATCTCTCGAGTCCATTTAACTAAAAAAAATAATGTAGATATCTGGTGTTTCAAAAAATAATAAATAAATTAGTAAGATCTACTGAAAAGCTAATAAATTTGGCAAAAGCGCAATTGCACTATTAAGTTCAGCATTGTTATTATTGTACGCGTACGAACAGAGCCGTTTTTGGGATATTTGGGGGTTTCCAGATTCCCTTTTAATCATTACCGACTCTACTTCTAGCCATGAACAAACCATGGCAACACCGCAGGGAGAAAAAGCATCCAGTCTATGCGCTACGAAGTGAGCTGAAATCGGGCGCTTTTCACTTTCTGTTGTTTATTTAAATGTATCAAGTTTCCTGATTCTGTTTTATTCTTTTTAAAAAAACATTTTTAGCTAGACTTGGTGAATACAAATTATTTGAGGTATTAGAACTTTAATTAGGGTCCAGAATTTTTTTTTTTTTTTTTTTAATAAGCACGATTTGTTACTTATTTTTAAGTAAAAACAAATACTTAATTTTTATTCACACTACCAAAATAGAAAAATAATTCAGACTGGCTTCAGACTGGCTCACAATAATCATTTATTTTTATGTTACATTTAAAAACACTGGTATTGTTTACAATATCCCACCAATGTCTAATATAATTTATAAAACACTAAAAGTTCCTTTATATCTTATTTCCTTTAAAGCAGAAATTATAGAATGACATAATGCGTGTTTTATAAACTTTTGGCGTTCGAGATTTTTGGGAAAAACTGTTTTATGATTTAACTCTTGTATAATTTCTTTAAAATAATAGTATATTATGTTACTAGGAGTAGAAGGCCAACATTATATGTTGAGCCCAGAATTTTGCACAGCTGAGGCGTTAGCCGAAGCTGTGCAAACTGGGCGAAACATATAATGGGCCTTCTAATCCGAGTGACATATACTATTTTTTCTTCAAGCATTTAAATAAAAGTATGGATAAAAAAAAATTAAAATAAAAAAGCTGAAATTAATAGAATATCTGTAAAACTAAATAACAGTTTAAAAAAATTATGTACCTACCTTAGTTGCTAAATATCTCTTGTTTGGTGCATTCTTAAGAAAGTTATCAAACTCCTGTTTAGAAAAAACTTTTGACTTCTTCGTTTTATAATCACCTTTTCGTTTTAAGAAGGCAATTAATTTTGAATAGTTTTCAATTTTTACATTATGTTTATTATTTAGTTCTGATTTCAGCATTGAATACTGCGACCACACTGTTGAACTTTTGAATTTTTCAGACAAATTAGTAAAATATGCGATCAGAACATTTTCTGAATAAAAATGTACGTGATTTTCTTCACTCCATTTCACAAATTTTTTTGTAAGCATAATCGTAAACTTTCTTCGATTTCGTAGGTATTAAGGTTTCTATCGAAGATTTCGCTATTTCTAGCAATTCGGGAGGTGTTGATTGCATTTCTTCTGACATTTTCTTTTTACTTGAAAAACACAGGTATAACGAACGGGTTAACACTATTTTTTTTATATTCTAAATCATACACTGACAAACGTCAAATTAAATAAGTATTCAAATGACAGTTCCAGCCTACTTGATTGCAACGTTCATAAGCCATTTAACATTAGGTTTGTGCTTTTTTATACTAGTACAAAAATGAAAAATATTTGTACTAGTATAAAAATAGGCTACTTCTACAACACGTGTACCTTGATATAATGTAAACATTATTATACGCTTGAAGAAAAAATTATTTTCTTTATTAAAAACCTCTTTAATATCTTGGTACTTTACGTTTCTATTTTAGGTGTAATCGTCAAAATCAGGGTAAACAGAGGGAAAATTGAGAGGGATACATTTTTGGTTTAAGCTTAGCTTTTACAGGAAATCGCTTACACTTTGAAATAATAGAGTTTACCATTTTGGTCCTAAATTATCACTTTGTTCTTGTTTTAAAACACTATTATAATTGGACTTACAGCCATGAATATAGCCGTTACTAGACATAATTATTAACCTTGTAACGGGTCATCATCGGCCACCAGATACTTTTAACACTTATTTTAATTAAATTGTTAAAAGTCAGTTTAAAAACACCACGGTAGGACCAATGCCGCCATTACTCGAGAGCTACAGGTGTAATAATAAAAACCACTTTATCACAATGACAAATTCAGATACTTTCGCTCTATATTATTTACACTTTTTATTTACTAATTAAAGAAAAAAAAATTAAATATTACTTAATCTAAACGTTTTTCGGAAAAAATCAACGTTACACTTCAAAAGTGTACTAAATGTTAGTACAATGTACCAAAAATGGACATAATCGCCGCTTTGCCTGATTTGTCTTTGCTAGGCTAGAAAGTAGAGTTGGTAATGCTACTATCAATACTACTGATTTACCTATTAAACATAAAGTTAATTTTCCCTTATTTTTCAGTTGCCAAATGCCGAAAATGACAAGAAGAAGCCAGTCATGGTGTTCATCCATGGCGGTGGATTTATGTACGGCTCCAACAAGAGTGCCGTAATTGGTCCGCATTATCTAATGACAGAAGATATTGTATTCGTTACAATAAACTACAGGCTGGGTGTTTTCGGTAAGAATTCTCTTTATTTATCAATTAACAGCTAACAGCACTCTTAACAAATTGATATCCAAGGCCGTATCATTTAAAATAAATGCAACCAATTTATGAATGGAAGTAAATACGTTGTTGATGATAATTAAGACCATTTTTTTTTAGTTTTCGGAAAATAACGTACATTTTTTACCGTTAGTCATACCCTGCGAACTATATTCCCACCTAAATTATAAAACAATATGATCCCCATATAAGATTTTTATCGATAAAATGTAATATTGCTCTTTAAACTATTTTAAATATTGCTAAACGTATATTAAAAAAATTTACTTCTAAAATTTTTACTTATCTCAGAATGGAGGAGTGGCGGTCATATCCCTTCGCGAAGGGGGAAGGGCATCAGGACCAGATTATATATTGACGAGAAATAATATGTGCTACAAATAGCGATTGCAAATTGATAAATATTATATATTCTTGACTTTAGTGATAACGTAAAAAAAATATTAAATTACATTGACACTTGTTCAAGCGGGTAATATGTGCCTTTTTTACAAAAAAAAAAATAAAAATTAATCCCATATAAAGAAAAATCCCGGTCCAAGGACCAAATTTATACTACAAATACTACTCCAAATTGTGAACTATCAACTTTCGTCTTATTACGATAAAAAATAAAAGTGGGCATAGCGGATACTCCTGCAGCTGTTTCTTGAAATTGATCCACAGCGATTTTTAAAAATACCGCCCTTGGATACTTCATCGCAAGTTGCTCAAAGACCCCCCTCCCCTATCCTTTGGCATGGCCCGCACCATGTTGCAGTAAAATCTGAAACTACGAGTTTAGTTGCGACATTAGTTAATTCGGTTTGAAAATGTGCTTGGTCGCTTATAACTTTTATGAACCCCATTTCTATATTTATCTAAAATTGAAACTGACGTCCGAAGCACAGACTTATACAGTTCGCTTTAACCTTCTAGCACCTTTCCGAAACGTCCAAGTGTTTCTTGACATAGAACGACATTCCTAAACATTTTTCGAATATTATCCCTTCTTCTTTTACTCGCACCTTTACTTGCGAGTTCCTCATACTAATTTTAAGGATTTGTTTTGGTTTAAACAGAACCGTCGATTCCAGTTCTCAAATATAATGGACGAATTAATTTTTCAAGAACACGTCACGAGGATATAACAACCTCTTAACTGATCGAATGTAATTCAGTGATTCTGAACTAGTTTCAAAACAAGCCTAAAGTAATCTAAAGGCTGTATGTCACGATACTAAATTAAGTACTAAATTTAGAACTAAATTAATGCATTTTTTAAGTACTAAAAAAATTTACGTTGCAAACAGCAAATTTAGTACTAAATTTAGTACTAAAAAAAGTCATTAATTAATTAGAACTTGTTCTATTTTCTACTAAATTTAGTACTAAAAGTGCGTCGAAATGTTGCGCAGAAGTTTTTCACAGAAAAAATTGACACGACGGTATTTTCTGTACCATTTTGTTTTTAATTAGCGAAAATTTTGCATTATCGACTTTAATAAAGTTCGTTTGTTTGATTTTGTAGATTTTATTGTTTTTTTCGTGGTTTATAGTAGCATATATGCTGTATTTGGTTGTTGTCATGTCAAATTGATAATAAAAACACCATTTACTTCACTCGTCTATTTTACCAGGAATATTTCATTTCTCTGCTTATTTCGCGTCTATAGTTAATTTAGTACTAAAAATTGGTATCGTTGCAAACGGAAAAAAATATTTTTAGTTCTAAATTTAGTACTAAATTAATGACTTAATTTAGTGCTAAGTTTAGTACTTAATTTAGTATCGTGACATACAGTCTTAACATACATTTGAGTTATCGCGCGTTAAGTGTAGTGATTACAATGTTGCCAAGTTGTAATCATTGTGCCTCGATACGCGTCGACTGCTTTATAAATATTTTTATTTTACAAATCTATATCTTTTTACCAAAACGGTCAAAAAATTCAGCATTTTTTTAGAAAATTTTATAACTTCTTGATTTTTACATTACTTTAGATTTAAAAATGTAGTAAGAACCGTTTTCGAGATATCTTGAAATAAATTCATTGCTTGTGTACATGACATGCTTCAAGAGTGTAAATTGTGCACATTTTGATTGTTAATATCTTGTTTTACAAACGGTCAAAATATTTCGTTTTTTTAGTCATGTAAAAGACACTTTCATTAACCTTATATTTCAGTTTTATTAAATTCTTAAGAAAAACCGTTTTACGAGTGAACTACCTTAAAAAAACTTTTAGATAACTGACCACAAACTACTTGATTTTATTAATTTTTAAGTAGAGTACATTATATGACACAGTTAAGATGACAATCTACAAATCCAACAAAATCTTCTCTAATTTTATTATCATTCACGTATCTTAAAACCAGAGTCATTTGAGATATACTCTGTGAAACGCTTAATTTTGTCGATAATGGACTGTCAGAGATGTACAAAATTTGGGATTAGACGTTTAAGTATATGCCGATCCCTATTTTATTTGCATTGTTGCCAGATTGACTGTTTTTTTGATAATATTGCTCACTTGGTTTTTTTTTAATACAATACCCTGTAAGTATAGTGTTTAATTTTTTTTTTGTATTCTGAGAGCCTAGTTCAAAGTTATATCACATATACACGAGAATTTTATTTTGCATTAAAAATACCAAAGTGATTAATATTATCGAAAACAGTAAATCTAGCAAGAGTACCTAGATCAAAACAGTAATCGTACCCCCAAAATTTCGAGATTTATAGAAAAAAATTGGCATTTCCAGACTTTTCTTCAACTCTGGATAAGTACACTATCTGTTGTTTCCTCAAAAATAATTAACCTTCTTGAATTTTTGCCCGTCCAGTGGTCTATCTTAAATAAATTTGTATAACTTTTTCTCCAGCTTCAGTGCTAAAGTTAAGGAGCAACCTATGGTATCTATCGATTATGGAGCTATCTTCATCTAAAAGAAGCTTCTACGGCTCCTCTTATGACCTCCACTGCAAGGGGTGTCGACAAAATCCATTTCGCGACAGTTACCAATTTTCACGTCAACCACCTTACCACCATTTTAAAGGCAGAATCACCAAAATTCCTCCTTAGTTTTAAAAAGATTTGCACTTTTATATAGTAGTTACATCACTTCGATGAGTTACGGATCTACGATAGTTCTAAAAACTTTTATTATTCGTCAATTAGTCAACTATCATTGATATGATCTTGTAATAATTATAATTTTTAACATTTTGTACTCTCATTTATGACGTTTTTCTACACCCATGTTCAGTAAACGTTAAAAATCGCACTGTCAACATTCCGTGTAAATGACATTTAACAATAACATGCACGTAATCAGATCTAATAACATACATCATACACGTGCTTTCAACTTTATTTGGTCTATTTACATAAATTTGGTGAATTGAAAAACACAAAAACTTTTAGTTTTAGCGAGATACATTTTAAATTAAAAAAGTAATGCCCCTAAATGTCGGCAACACATTATACATTATACAAAATATTGTATTCGAACATTTTCATAACTATACCTATGAATATATTTGTTAGAAGTAAAAGTGATGAAATTATGAACAGTCCATCAGAGATTTTAGAAAAGGCTGCCACACATAATTTGTTACCGCTAAAATCAAAATCAAGCATATGTCCTTTATTTAATGGAAGAAAATAAGTGGACGTAGAAAAAGTATAGTACGTTACACGAGTTATAAACCCATTACGCACTCGCGAAATTTACGCACTCGCCGCTGCGCGGCTTCGTTCGTAATGGGTTACTTACAACTCTTGTTACGTAATATACTATTTCCATTGAATTGTTTAGTGCGTTCTGAGTGCATTCTCACTTTCTTCTTTTCCATATCGATAAAAAAAGAACACAAATATACTGAGTGCGTACTGCTAGTGCCAATGAAAAACGCTATTAGTTACCGCTAGTTATATTTCATGCGTCGTTTAATTATGTCATACAAAATCAATTAAACAATATAAACAATGTATGATATAACTGGAATTAATAAAACAATTGAATTCGTTAACCTTTCCCGTCAAGGAGTCAAGTAGAAACAAGTGTTTTGTTTTCGTTCCAAAAACAAAATAAATACATAATTAAATTTTTTGGGATTTGTATTAAAAGTCTTGAATTTTCATTCGCAAAATTCATTTTTGTCCTGTGTTTTTGACTTGAACAATTTGATATTCAGCCAACTTATTATAGCTGCTATTTTTATTTGTTTACAATCTATAAATAATAGGTACATTAAATACTAATAGCTGTCTATTTTTGCTGTAGAATAGTTCATTTCCTCTTTCTAACTTGACTTGGTACTCTAGTAGTCCTAGTATATTATAGGTATCAACAGACAGTGGCAGCGTTTATTAGGGCAAGTGAGTTCAGTCACTAATATTGATAATAACTATATGTATTTCCTTATAATACTAATAATAATGATAATAGAAAATATACAGGGTGTTGCATTTTAAATATATCAACCATAGGTCAGGCCCTCCATGAGTTTTTCGACCATCAAAAGAGTAAAAAAGTATCCCAACTTCTAGAAAATGTGATGCATAGATAAGATACATCCATAGGAAACATAGTGGAAAGATGTCGGTGAAAACATACATGTTATTAGCGACGTACATCCTGTCATTACCACAACAACTGATCTCACCAATTATGAGATAAAACTTTAACAAATGAAATAATTAAAAACTATGAAAATCTTTTTAACTTTTAACACTAATATAGTACAAGACCAAAACGTATTATTTTAGTAAAATGAATTGAATGATATGCTTCAGTGTCAACAATTTGACAAAATAAATAAATATACAGAAGAAATAAGTATAATATATAAAATCTGATGTGTCCAACACATGACTTTCCTATCTAGTTATTATAGGCTTTTTCCGGTTATTTTGTACAACCTATTACACATTACAAACTAATATATACATTGTACACATACATCTAACTTCTATAGATATTCATTGAAAACGAAAATACTGAAAAATTTAAATTTCCTACAATTTTTTCATTACGGTCCATTTTAGAAAAGTCATGTAGAAACAAAAATTATAGAAATTGATATCGCAAACAACTTTTATTTCAAACATTTTCATAAAAATCAAAATTTTGCACATTTTGTCAAATTTCTCGAATACGGACCATTTCAGGAAATTTTTACATAAAACAAAAATTATAGATAATAATATTAGAATTAACTTTTATTTGAACAATTTTTTTCTCCAAACATTAATAACAGATATATTCCATAAAATATAAAACCGGCCTCCCATAAAGTACCCCCCCCAGATGTTCCGACTTTGTCCAAAATCTAATCATTTCACGTCAGGCCGAAATAAAACTTAAGTTTAAAATTTAATGTTTTTTTCTTCATCACAAAAGTAAACGACCCTACTCTGGGCTTAGACGGTTTTGAGTCCGTCCTACAGATGAAAACAAGAGTAAAAATGAGAGTTACAATGTAACAATGTGATGTAAAGTTCTCATTTATTTAACGTTTTTATGCATAGTGGGGTATTCACACCAAATTAAGACACAGTCATTAAACTGAGAAAAGCGAACTAAATTGCATGTATTGCATGTATTTAGCCACACATTTGTCACGCGTTGACGTCAGCTGAGGAAGAGAGAGGGAAAATATCATGCGTGTGAGCTTATCTGTTCATTCTAGTATCATGTTATTAGTCTAATAGTTTTTTGTCGTTGATTCCAACTCAATCATATCATGCATAAATTTCCTTTGAATCTGCAACCTAAAATTTGTTATAACTTATACCAAAAACTAATTTTAATGACTAAGTTTTATGATAAGTAACTGTATGTCGTTTCTATATAAAAACAAACTATTCGAATGATGAAACTTTAGTAAATTTGCATAGTCCTCAACAATAGACGATAAGATAAAACGGTTTAAATTTTATAAAACTAATGATGTAATCGAAGAAAATATTTCACTACTTATTATTAATAATAATTAAGAAACAAGGAACAAACGTATTTTTATTAAATATAAGTTGTAGATAACATAGATAAAAAAATGTATTTGTTTCTCTTCCAATTATATTGCGCTTTATGTGCTATATTTTATAAAATTTTTAAGTAGGCATCAGTGTTGTCATTGTTATTACAATTTTAACAAATCTATTACTTTATTATGTATTGATATTATTACCTTTTGGTTCAAAGTTCTATTACGGTCACGTACGGTAATAAACTGAGGTTTGTTTCTACAGTGGTTTTTAATAGTCAAGAGTATACATGATTGGAAAAGCAAGATACCTGAATTCATCCTTAAAATGAAAAAAGCACAATACCCTATTTGGTTTAGGCTTCCACCTGCCTTTTTCCACAAATTCTGACCCGATTTTTATATATCATGGATTTTTTGAATGCAATAAAATAACGTTAAGCTTTGTAATTATCTAATATGTCCAACATATGACTCTCCTGTAAAAGTATCAAATATATTGAGTAAGGCCCATTTAATCAAAAAGTGTTTAAAATATGTAAATTAAAGATAATCATTTCTTTTTCAGGATTTCTCAGTCTGGAAGATCAATCCTTGAACGTGCCTGGAAATGCAGGACTAAAGGACCAAACCCTCGCCTTAAAATGGGTCCAAAAGAACATTCACAATTTTGGAGGCGATTCACAGAACGTTACTATCTTTGGAGAGAGCGCTGGTAGTGCTTCCGTTCATTATTTGACATTATCTCCACTTACGAAAGGTAATAATTCATCACATACATACACACATTTTATCCAATAACGATCCTCCAAAATTTATCATCCATTACACCTTGCGATTTCTTCAAACTTTACATTTAAGAAGCAGTTTAAAATCTTTCTTATCTCTTTTTACTCTTTACAGGTCTCTTCCACAAAGCAATCATGCAAAGCGGCTGCGCCTTGAACCCTTGGGCAAGAGGAAGGAAAAATTTTTCCGACATCGCCAAAGCTATGGGTTACAAGGACGTCGACGAGAAAACGTTATTCCAAAAGCTTTGTAGAGCTAGCGCCAGAAGCTTGGTCAGCGCCCAATTCAAAATAGAAGATGTAAGTATTTAATATTTATTTATAGTATTTGCAAAGGGAGGAGCACATAGACCTCAGTGGCCCAATGTGTAACCTCCTGAATCGATTATGTCACTCTTAACTCGTCCCCAAACCTAAAAATTGTATGTAGCTAACACCGTTGAGAATAGAGGCATCTCTTGTGTTGACCAGTGTTAGCCATTATTCGCTGAATATTAATCCTCTGCTAGATGAGAGAATTTGGCAATTTTATATGCCCAATAGTCTCATCTTGTTAACACTTCTTGCAAAATGCGGAGTCTGGTAGCTCCATGCTATGGAAGTGCGTCTAGTCATTAGTCAAGTATTTATTTTTTGTTGTGTTGTCAGAGCTCCAACAATTTTCAGCTTCTTCTTTTATCCCAATTTTCATTGAATTTTACAAGGGAATATTCTGTAGATAGGTTCACCAAGACCGATTTTGATGGATGGTTCTAGTACTAATCCTAAGTAAATTCGTATAGTCTGTCCAGGATGAGTATCTGCAATCTGTATAGATAAGCAGTGATATTATTTCTGGAAATTTCTTTTGTTGCTATGAGAATGCCCGTTAACGCAGTTTGAATTACACTAGAGCACTGTTCCATATAAACCACTTTAGGTTTAAGGATCTAGAGCACGTTCCACATTCTGAGTTTTGTTTTGTTTTAGAACCGTCAGTTCAGTCGTGTGATTATCATCAGAGCAGCCTCTCTTGTTTAAATATCAAGGGAACTGAGACTACGAATGACTTCCATAGCTCTGGTTGGTGTGGTTGTGATGGCTTCTGTTATGTTGCATTTGTTCTAATTTACAGACAGTTGTCATTTGTTTTAGTTTTCAGCACCGTATGTTAGCATAGGTCTTATGATTGCCGTGGAGAAACCCCGGGTGGACCCAATGGTTCTATGTTTCTAGGTTTTCAGCTTCGTTACAAAGTTTAGTTTGATGCATTTATAATAAAAAGAGTCAAAATTAACCGGTAATTATTGCAAAGCTAGCACCAATTCTGTTATTGAGATGAATGGAGTAAAACATATTAGATATTTATAGCCCAATCGAATTAGGTGAAGAACAGGCTTGAGATTCTGAAAAATTGGAAGCAGCAATTTTCCTTCGGAATTCGTTGGAGGGGGTCTCTGGTAGTCTAAATTCAAAAAGTTGGGATTCCAAAGTTGTCGCTACCTCCGCCATCTTGATTTAAAGGGTTATTTTTTGTATCTTGAATAACTCATTTATTTTCAATTTTACAAGGAAAATAGTTTTTACAAAAGTTATTTAAAATTAAATTTCCTACAATTCTGCTTTTTTTTGTACGATCGATTTTTTCGATTTAAACCCGAAAAGAGGGGGTGAATTTTTGGTTATAGAATAACTCGTTTATTTTCAATTTTACGAGAAAAATTGTTATAAACAAAGTTGTTTAAAATTAAATTTCCTACAATTCTGCTTTTTTTTGTACGATCGATTTTTTTCGATTTATACCCGAAAAGAGGGGGTGAATTTTTGGTTATAGAATAACTCGTTTATTTTCAATTTTACGAGAAAAATTGTTATAAACAAAGTTGTTTAAAATTAAATTTCCTACAATTCTGCTTTTTTTTTGTACGATCGATTTTTTTCGATTTATACCCGAAAAGAGGGGGTGAATTTTTGGTTATAGAATAACTCGTTTATTTTCAATTTTACGAGAAAAATTGTTATAAACAAAGTTGTTTAAAATTAAATTTCCTACAATTCTGTTTTTTTTCTGTACGCTCGATTTTTTGTATTTACCCCTGAGAAGAGTGGGGGTAAACTCTTATCATTGTATTATCACGTTTCTTTTTAATTCCAGGTATCAGCAAAAAAAAACAAACAGAAAAAATAACGGTACAACATCAATAATAAACGTGACAATACAATACTTAGGTTCACCCCCACTCTTCTCAGGGATAAATACAAAAAAATCGATCGTACAAAAAAAAACAGAATTGTAGGAAATTTAATTTTAAACAACTTTCTTTATAACAATTTTTCTCGTAAAATTGAAAATAAACGAGTTATTCTATAACCAAAAATTCACCCCCTCTTTTAGGGTATAAATCGAAAAAAATCGATCGTACAAAAAAAAAGCAGAATTGTAGGAAATTTAATTTTAAACAACTTTGTTTATAACAATTTTTCTCGTAAAATTGAAAATAAACGAGTTATTCTATAACCAAAAATTCACCCCCTCTTTTCGGGTATAAATCGAAAAAAAATCGATCGTACAAAAAAAAGCAGAATTGTAGGAAATTTAATTTTAAACAACTTTGTTTATAACAATTTTTCTCGTAAAATTGAAAATAAACGAGTTATTCTATAACCAAAAATTCACCCCCTCTTTTCGGGTATAAATCGAAAAAAATCGATCGTACAAAAAAAAGCAGAATTGTAGGAAATTTAATTTTAAATAACTTTTGTAAAAACTATTTTCCTTGTAAAATTGAAAATAAATGAGTTATTCAAGATACAAAAAATAACCCTTTAAATCAAGATGGCGGAGGTAGCGACAACTTTGGAATCCCAACTTTTTGAATTTAGACTACCAGAGACCCCCTCCAACGAATTCCGAAGGAAAATTGCTGCTTCCAATTTTTCAGAATCTAAAATACTAATCCGATTGGGCTATTAATATTATAGTAATTATTCGTATTTTGTTGCAGTCTTTCTTCGCAAGCATGGTCAGACCTCTGGGACCGGTCATCGAATGCCCACACGAAGGAGCCTTTTTGACAGAAGATCCCGAAGAGATCATGAAAGCTGGAAAGAACCACCAAATCCCAATTATCATCGGCTACAATTCTAGGGAAGGCTTGTTGTACGAAGTGATCAGGAAAACTAGGACAGACGCCGATCTACCAGAAAATTTAGAAAAGGATATTCCTTACGACATGAACATTCCTGAAAAAAGCGGTAAAGCTAAGGAGGTCGCCGAAAGAATAAAGGAGTTTTACTATAAGGACAATGATCTGTCGGAAAAGAATATTAATACGCGTTATTTGGTAAGAAACAATTTTACTGAATCTATGCAAATTACATTATGAGTAGAATTGTGAAGTTGTTGCAAATGTGTGGAAGTTTTTGCTTATTTATAAGATACCAGTTTAGGGGTTTAGTGCCCCATGCTGGACACCTAACTTGTCATGGACATTACGTTGTCAGTAGAACTATAAAGTTATTGCAAATGTATGAGCATTTTTGCGTTTCTGTAAGAGATCAATTTAGTGTCACACGATGGGCGCCATTTGTGTTATAGGCACATATCTTACTCATATTGTTTTTCTTTGTTACAGATGGTCGGAGACATCCAATTCGTGAATGGTATCCAAAAAACCATCACCCTACTTAAGAACCACAGCAGCGCGCCAGTATACGCTTACAGGATGAGCGTAACTAGCTCGTTGAACTTCTTCAAAAAATTCTGCGAAGTCAAATACTTCAAAACGATGATTTTCTTCACCCTAATGACGAAACTGTCGGGCGGTTCTTCGCTCAAGAACTTTTTCCAAAACATGCGCGAGAAGTTACCGGTTAAACAGATAGATGGCGTTTCGCATGCGGACGATCTCTTTTACTTGTTCAGCACGTTCTTCTCTCCTACTATTACTCCCGGTAGCGAGGAGGATATTAATATTCAGAAATTCGTTAAACCGTGGACGCATTTTGCTAAAACCGGCAATCCCACTCCTGAACAAATCGACGTCTTGAATAAAGTCGTTTGGCCGCCAGTTCAAGATGAAAGTATTAGCAATATTTTTGACATAAACGGAACTGTTAGTATTACCGGTAATTTAGAGAGCGAAAGAACGAAATTCTGGGAGAGTTTGTATAGAGATTGTAAGGTTTAATTTATCGAAAACGATGACGCGTATTTAGATATAGTACAATTAAATTAAGTATCATTTGAGAAATTAGGGACAGGCTGAGTTTTTGACATATGTATCTGGGAGTCTAGATGGTCGTATCCCCATCTATTATGGACACTCTACCAATTTATAAACAAAATTTTAAATTAAGTTGTCTCAATGAAGCAAAAAAGTGTAAAAACAGAAATGTAGATCTTCAAATTTGCAATATTTGTTTTGTTTGAGATAGAACTCTCTGTAGTTCACTCCCAAAAAGCTAGAGAGTGTTAAAGTTTTCAAAAATCATGTTTTCTTAATTTTTACTTTTTAAAAGTGATTTTAGCTATAAAAACTATGATTTCAAAAGTTGTAAATTTCAAAAAAATAGAGTTGTTAATAACTTATATCATTTGGGGTATAACCTCTTAGACTCCAGAAACAATGTATCAAAAATGTCCCCAATATGTTTTACGAAAATTCGAATGTAGTAATAAGTTTCAGTGATAATCTTTGTACGAAAATTAAGGCGATTAAATTAACCAAAGAATTTTGATTGTCTTAGAGAAAGAGGCTTTTTTTACGATATGTAACCAATGCCAATTGTACATAGATGCTTTAAACAATGAATACATAACCTAAAAATACTTTAATAGGTTAATATTTTCATTTTATAACGTATTAATAGGTTTTCTTACGAAAGTGCCTCCATTAGTTTTGTTATTTAGTTTTTAAGACGATTATAGTATTAAAAACATGAGATATTTGTTAGTTTTTAAGTTGTGTTTGTAGCCATTAAGGAGTATTTATATTTATTTATATTTTGCAAATAAAATAAGTATTGGTATATGATGCATAATTATTGTGTATTATTTCTTTGACAAAATATGTTTTATTCATCTCGTGTTAGAGAAAATCAAGAAATACATCTATTCGATATCTTCGATTGAGATTATATACAGGGCCGGATTATCCAATAGGCTAGATAGGCTGTAGCCTAGGGGCCCTCGACTTGCGGGTGCCCTTTACTCTCAAATAAAAAAAAGTAAAACGGTATACAACATCTATTTACTATAATACGTTGACCATGATGTAATAATAACAAAAATAATAATCAGGTTCGAATCCCACCGTTTTCCGGAATTATTTAATTTAATTATTTAAAATTAATTCTGATGCCTTGGTAGGATTCCCCACTCGACCATTCACTGTTGGATTCTAATTAACAGTGCTGTTCCTAAAGTGGCGCTGGGAAACAGTAACAAAGCCTACACAGAACACGAGGCGAAATAACCCTGGTAGTTGAAGCCGATGACACAAAAAAAATTAATAATTATCATTATTTATACTAAATCTGGCCGCGGCACGGCACGACCCGCTAATGCTAATGTCAGTTTTTATCGCGATTTAAGATAGACCGACCGACGGACGCTACTGAACACTGCGCTCTGCATGTGCATCCCCGATTTTGATCCCTGACGTCGCGCGTCGGCGAGCTTGCGCTGCGTGCGTCATTCCGTCTAGTGTCTAGTAAAATCCACACGCATTTTTTAAGGATATGTTCGTTCGTTAAAATTAAAACGTTATAATCGTAATTTAATCACAAAAGTATTTTGTATTAAAAAACAAAATTAGTGCATAGTGTAGTGACACCTACTAAGTGACTAAAATGAGTAACTATGAACTATCCATGTGGGGCAAAAAAAACGTAAAATAGCTAAAGAAAAAGCTGTAAGGCAGTCGGAAGCTATAGAAAATGTGTCAAAAATAGACACATTTTTTAAAAAACCACATATTGATAGTGGGCAGTCACAGAACTCTAATTTAATTCATTTTTCACATGATGCTTTACCAGGAACTTCAAGAACAAATTTGGAAGATATTTTTTTTATATTTTATTCTAGGTTTTAAATCAAAAGCAAGCGCATATTTTGTTTTTAAATTCTTTGCTCACCGCTAATGAAAATGAAAACAATGAGAATGACACTGACGAAGTTGATACAAGAGATAGTGATTTTGGCGATCCTGCAAAAATATCAGTTAACATTAACTCAGAGACGATTGACACACTAATAAAAAATCCGATAATAGAGGATTTAAACAGTTTTGATTTTGAAAACTCAAAGAGAGTGTATGAAGGCCTACAACCACGCTACGCAACTAAAAAAATGTTTTTTTTTCAAACTTCGAAATGGTGAGGAAGTTCGGCGAGAGTGGCTCTTATATTCTGTGTCGAAGAATTCAGTTTTCTGTTTCCCGTGTATGTTGTTTAGCAAGGATCGTGAAAAATCTTTTGTTAAAGGATTTAATGACTGGAAAAATATTATTAGAATTGAGGAGCATGAGGCTTCGCAAGAACATTCAAATAACACAAAAATATTTCTAACTCGTTCCAATACTTTAGGCAAAATAGATACAGAAATAGAAAAACAATATTTAGAGGAAAAAACTCTGGATGAAAATTCTCCATCGTGTATTGTCTACAATTAAATTTTTAGCAAGTCGAGCTATGGCATTCAGGGGTACCACAGAGAAGTTTGGGAGAAATGATAACGGCAATTATTTAGGACTTTTAGAGTTAATAGCTCAATTTGATCCATTCTTGAACAATCACAAAAATATGGAAATCCGGGACGCGGTAATGTCTCATATTTATTATCTTCTATTTGTGACGAGTTTATTGGAGTTTTATCAAAGCACGTTCGTGATTTTATTAGTAGTGAAGCCAGATCGGCGAAATATTTTTCTATTTCCGTGGATTCAACGCCTGATGTTAGTCACCTGGACCAGCTTACTTTTATTCTTAGATATGTCATATGTGATGGCTCTCCTATAGAACGTTTTATTACCTTTATTAGTAATACTGGCCATAAGGCAGTTGACATGGAAACTGCGGTTCTTAAGATATTAGACGAGTTACAGTTAAATATTCAAAAATGTAGGGGGCAGTCTTATGACAATGCCAATAATATGTCCGGTCATTATTCAGGATTGCAAGTTCTCATTAAAAAAATGAATCCTCTTGCCTTATTTGTCTCCTGTGCGGCCCACTCTCTTAATTTGGTAGAAACTTGTGCAGCTGAGTGTTGTAATATGGCCACTTCAATTTTGATGTTCTTGGAAGAAATATATAATTTTTTTTCAGCATCCACACATAGGTGGCAAATAATTACAGAAGAACTCAATAAAATTCCCAATGCTCTCGTTCCAAAAAAATTATCTGTTACTCGATGGTCTGCTCGCGCGGATTCCTGCAAAGCAATTATTTTAGGGTTTTCTGCGTTTAAAGAGTCATTAGCAGTAATCGAAAATGATATTACACAGCAAATAGTACAAAAGTTCAAGCAAAAGGAATTAAAAATCGGTTCGAAGAATTGGAAGTTGGGATTTTGTTAAATTATGGGAAGATATTTTAACAGAGTTCTATAAGGTTAGCAAGTCATTACAAGCTACTGAAATCGATGTTTCTATTAGCAGTCAAATTGTATGATTCACTTATTAGACATGTTTCACAACAACGCGAACGTTTTGCATATTACGAAAAATGTGGCAATGAACTTACAAACTGTTCCACATATAAATCCGATAATAAAAGAAAAAAAAAGTAGAAAACTACAATTTGACGAAAATAAAGAGAGTGAAGTTGAATTCAGTGGTAGAGATAATATGCTCATAAATACTTTCTATGTTATAATCGATAACATTCTTGCGGAACTCAAGAGTCGACAAACTGCTTGTCTTAACGTTGCAAATAAGTTTGGGTTTTTATATTTAGAAAATTATTCAGATGGGAATATTATACTACAAGCAAATTTACTCCAGGAGCACTATCCAAACGATTTAGACCAAAGTTTAGGAGCCGAATGTATTCGCTTTAAATATTTCATTTCAGAAATTAGCAATCCAAGGGAAATGTTAAAGTTTATAAGACAAAAAAAATTAACTTCTAGTTTTCCAAACGTAGATATTGCATTAAGGATATTTTTATCCATGGCAGTAACTAACTGTAATGGGGAGAGATCATTTTCTACCTTAGAAAGGGTAAAAAGTTATAAAATAAATTCATTAGGTGATGAAAAAACTAATCAACTCTTTATTGGCTATAGAACCAGAGCTGGGCACGAGTACTGAATAAAATACTCGTAAATTGTACGAGTACGAGTACTCGAAAATTGTATTTATAAGTATTTTATTCGTAAGTACTTTCGTAGAGATAGTTTACGGATACGAGTAGTAATCGTGAAAATACGAGTAAAGAGTACGAGTAGTTTCACAAAATTAACCTAATAAATAAATAAACTATAAAAAAAGAAACAAAGAAAAACCACTATATTTTTTAAATAAAAATAGTCTTTATGTACCTAAACAAAAACAAAAAACTATTCTAAAATAAATAAAATACAAAAACTTTGTTTAGAGTATAAATAAAACAAACATGGTCAACTTGACAGTAAACACAGTTTTTTAAAACTGGTAATTGTTAACTTTTTTAAAAACTCATATTTTTGTTTCTCTACTTATCGTTATCGTGTTAAACCAAATCAATAATATTTCGAATACACCTTTACACGCTGAAACAGAAAGATGGGGTTTCTGTTATTTTAAAATTGTCTGTTTGTAATCATCCCCCCATGTGTTTTTCTAAAAAAAAAAAATTAATTTTGACTGCACCCGAAGATGGAAAAAGTTTTTCAAAACATATGTAGTGCTGTGCTTACGATAGAAAATAAAATTAATGACCGAACAAACCAAGGAACTTTTTATTTATATAAAATTCTGCTACGGTCAGGAAATTATCCTTATTCAAATTAACGAAAATTGTGTATGGAGACTATAGACGTTAAATATTTAACCGATCTCGTAGGTAACACATTCACACCACCACAAAACACCAAAAATAACAAAACATAAAACGCCTAACGAGGCAACGAATTGCTTTTTTCAATATTCCCAACCCAAATAAGAGACCGCAGCCCGAACGCAACCGAGGCCGTTTCGTGTCGTGATACTGGTGATCGATAGTAGTAACTTGCGTTTAACATGCGACGATCAAAAAATGCCGACTACTCGTAAAATAATACTCGTATTTTACAAGTACATTCTACGAGTAGATTTAAATTTACTTGTAAGTACGAGTAATAAGAAGTACTTCAAATAAAAAATACTTATAAGTAAAAATTACGAGTAGTTATTCTACTCTTAATCGAAATACGAGTAAAAGTATTCGAGTACTTGCCCAGCTCTGTATAGAACACGATATTCTCAATAAAATTCCTACCGAAAATATTATTGAGAGTTTTGCAACCCTAAAATCACGGAAACGAGCATTTATTTGAGTACACACCAGTCACCACCACCTTATTACATAATATATTCTTTTTTTTTTAGCGAAAATGTTTTAGGTTATTTTTTTAGATATTCCTTTATTTTTTATGTATTTTTTTGGAGTAAATTTTTTTTTTAAAACAAGATATTATTTTAATAAATACCTCTGAACCTATCAATTTTTGTTTCACATTTTACTTCATCAAAAAAAAATGTCTACCCTAGGTACCATAAAATATGCTGAATATTCTGGATAGGGAGAGGAGGAGGGGCCCTAAGTAATTTTTAGCCTAGGGCCTCAACAATCGCTAATCCGGCCCTGAATATATAGATAATAATATCAAGATAGATTCTCCTTCATACTATCTAAATGCCAAATTATTATAATTTGATAAAGTTAATGTTAGTAATCGACATGATAAATTTAAACCTCATGATATTCGTACTTTCATATCATTGATATTGTTACGCAGGTTTTGGTACCTAACTCAATTTATTTTAATTCGACCATTACAATTCGACTATAAAGACTAGAGATAAG